CCCTGCCACCGCCTGTCACCCCCTGCTACCCCCTGCCACCCCCCATCACCTCCCCACAGCCCTCTGCCCTGGGTCCCCTCGCCTGTGTCCCCCTGTGTCCCCAGCAGGGTCTGGAGCACGTTGGTGTCCCTGTGGTGTCCCCCCATGTCCCTGCTGTGTCCCTCCTGTCCCTGTTGTGCTCCTCCTGTCCCTGTCACGTCCCCCTGCTCCTGTGCCATGTCCCTGTGCCCATGTCCCTGCTGTGGCCCTGTGCCATGTCCCTGCCATGTCCCCCTGCTCCTGTGCCCGTGTCCCTGTGTCCGTGTCCCTGCCGTGTTCCTGCTGTGTCCCTGCCGTGTCCCTGTGCCCGTGTCCCTGTGCCCGTGTCCCTGCCGTGTCCCTGCCGTGTCCCTGTGCCCGTGTCCCTGTGCCGTGTCCCTGTGCCCATGTTCCTGCCGTGTCCCTGCCGTGTCCCTGCCGTGTCACCCCTGTCCCTGCCATGTCCCCCTGCTCCTGTGCCCGTGTCCCTGCCATGTCCCTGTGCCCGTGTCCCTGTGCCGTGTCCCTGCCGTGTTCCTGCCGTGTCCCTGCCGTGTCCCTGCCGTGTCACCCCTGTCCCTGCCACCCCTGCCCACGCCCGTCCCGGTGCCGGTGCCGCCGTGGCTGGGCCCGGCAGCGCCGCGTGCCCGGACAGGCCCCGCGGTGCCCGGCTGGGCGTCACCCGTGGGAACCGGCACCGCCAGCTTTGATGGCACCGCCGCCACCGCCACCCGCCCGGGCAGGCCGGGGGGTGTCACCAGGAGATGTCACCGGGGGTGTCACTGGGGAGTGTCACAGGGGTGTCACCGGGGGTGTCACCATGAGATGTCACAGGGGTGTCACCAGGAGATGTCACCGGGGGTGTCACTGGAAAGTGTCACAGGGGCCATGGCCAGGAGATGTCACTGGGGGTTGTCATGGGGGGCTGGCACTGGGAGATGTCACCAGGACATGTCACCGGGGGTGTCACCAGGGCTGTCACCGGTTCTGTCAGTGGGGCTGACACTGGGATATCACTGGTTCTGTCACCAGGGTGTCACTGGTTCTGTCACTGGTTCTGTCACTGGTTCTGTCACCGGGGCTGACACTGGGGCTGGCACCAGGCTGTCACCAGTTGTGTCACCAGTTGTGTCACCAGTTCTGTCACCGGTTCTGTCACCGGTTCTGTCACCGGTTCTGTCACTGGGGCTGTCACCGGGGCTGACACTGGAATGTCACCAGGCTGTCACCAGTTGTGTCACCAGTTCTGTCACCGGTTCTGTCACTGAGCTGTCACTGGTTCTATCACCGGTTCTGTCACCGGGGCTGACACTGGGATGTCACTGTTTCTGTCACTGGGCTGTCAGTGGTTCTGTCACCGGTTGTGTCACCTGGCTGACACTGGGATGTCACTGGTTCTGTCACCAGTTGTGTCACCGGTGCTGTCACCGGTTCTGTCACTGGTTGTGTCACTGGTTCTGTCACCGGTTCTGTCACCGGTTGTGTCACCGGTGCTGTCACCGGTGCTGTCACCGGTTCTGTCACCAGTTCTGTCACCGGTTGTGTCACCGGTTCTGCCACCAGGGCTGACACCGGTTGTGTCACCGGGGCTGACACTGGGATGCCACTGTTTCTGTCACTGGGCTGTCACCGGTTCTGTCACCGGTTGTGTCACCTGGCTGACACTGGGCTGTCACTGGTTCTGTCACCAGTTGTGTCACCGGTGCTGTCACCGGTTCTGTCACCAGTTCTGTCACCGGTTGTGTCACCGGTTGTGTCACCGGGCTGTCCCCGCAGGGTGGACGCGCCGCTGCCCGAGGGCGTCAGGGCCAAGGGGGACACGCTGCTGTTCCAGCGGCCGCTGGCTGTGGCCGACGCCGGCGACTACGTGTGCCGAGTGTCCAACCGCGTGGCTGCCAAGGAGGCCCGGGCCAACGTCAGCATCCGGGGACGCGCCACAGGTGGGGACACCCCCAGGGTGGCGGAGAGGGGAGTGCTGGGCTTGGTTTCTGCATCTGTCTGTGTCTGTCTGTCCGTTCATCTGACCACCCACTTGTCCATCTGTCCTTCCATCCATCCCTCCATCCATTCCTCCATCCATCCATCCATCCATCATCCATCTATCCATCCATCCATCATCCGTCCATCCATCATCCATCATCCATCCATCATCCATCCCTCCATCCATCCATCCATCATCCATCCATCCATCCATCCATCCATCCATCCATCATCCATCATCCATCCATCCATCCATCATCCATCATCCATCCANATCCATCATCCATCCATCCATCCATCCATCCATCCATCCATCCATCCATCCATCCATCATCCATCCATCCATCCATCCATCCATCCATCCATCATCCATCCATCCATCATCCATCCGTCCATCCGTCCATCCATCCGTCCATCTGTCCATCCATCTGCCCGTCCATGGATTTGTCTGTCCATCTGTCCCTCTGACACCTCTTGCTGTCCGTTCCAACCCGCTGGTCACCCACCCACTGTCCCACGCCACCTTTTGGGGTGTCCCACTCAGCCTTTTGGGGTCCCCCCCGTTTGGGGTGTCCCCTGGGTCCGGGGTGTCCCCTGACCCCCGTGGGTGCCCGCAGAGGACACCGTGCGCCGCGTGGACCTGGTGTCGGCCTCGGTGGTCGTGGTCGGGGTCATCGCCGCCGTCCTGCTCTGCGTCCTCGTCATCGTCGTGGTGGTCATGACCCTGTACCACAAACGCAAGACCCAGCGCATCTCCGAGAAGTAGTAAGGGAGGGGGACACGGGGACATGGGGGACATGGGGACACGAGAGACATGGGGGACATGAGGGACATGGGGGGACATGAGGGACATGGGGGGACATGGGGACACGAGAGACATGGGGGACATGGGGACATGGGGGGACATGGAGGACATGGGGATATGAGGGACATGGAAGGACATGAGGTACATGGGGGACATGGAGGGACATGGGGACATGAGGAACATGGGAATATGGGGGGACACAGAGGACATGAGGGACATGAGGGACATGGATGGACATGGGGACATGGAGGGCATAGGGGGATGTGGGGACATGGGGGACGTAGGGGACACGATGGGGACATGGGATAGACACAGAGGACATGGCAGGACACGGGTGACACTGGGGTTGTGGGAGATGGCCACGAGGGGACGTGGGAGGACACGGGGGGTGGACACAGCAGGAGATGAGGGGACAGGGGAGGGGACACCGGTGCTGAGTGTCCCCCGTGTCCCCAGCGAGGAGGAGCTGACGCTGACCCGGGAGAATTCCATCCGGAGGCTCCACTCCAGCCACGGCAGCGACCCCCGGGCACAGGTGGGGCACGGAAACGGGGGGCCGGGAGGGGACTGGGGGGCCCGGGGTGATGGGTGCCCATCGGGGGGGACTGGGGGGCCCGGGGTGATGGGTGCCCATCGGGGGGGATTGGGGGGCCCGGGGTGGGGGGAGCAGGGCCTTGGGGTGACCAAGGAAGGGGGTTTGGGTTGGGCTGTGGGGTGTCCATGGGATGTCCAGGGGTGTCTGGGGGTTTCCGTGGGATGTCCATGGGGTCAGTCCATGGTGTGTCCATGGGGTGTCCAGGGGTGACCATGGGGTCAGACGTTGGGGTCAGTCCATGGGGTCAGACTTTGGGGTGTCCATGGGGTGTCCAGGGTGTCCATGGGGTGTCCATGGGGTCAGTCCATGGAATGTCCATGGGGTGTCCAGGGGTGTCTGGGGGTGTCCATGGGATGTCCATGGGGTCAGTCCATGGAATGTCCATGGGGTGTCCAGGGGTGACCATGGGGTCAGACGTTGGGGTGTCCATGGGGTCAGACGTTGGGGTGTCCATGGGGTGTCCAGGGGTGTCCATGGGGTGTCCATGGGGTCAGACGTTGGGGTGACCATGGGGTCAGACTTTGGGGTGTCCATGGGGTGTCCAGGGGTGTCCATGGGGTGTCCATGGGGTCAGACATTGGGGTGTCCATGGGGTGTCCGGGGGTGTCCATAAGGTGTCCATGGGGTCAGTCCATGGTGTGTCCATGGAGTGTCCAGGGGTGACCATGGGTGACCATGGGGTCAGATGTTGGGGTGACCATGGGGTGTCCGGGGGTGTCCTGGGCACTGACCGGGCTGTCCCAGCTGGAGGAGACGCTGCAGCTGCGGACGGAGAGTCGCCAGGGCAGCCTGCGAGGGGACAGCCTGCGAGGGGACAGCCTGCGAGGGGACAGCCTGCGTGGCACCAGCATCTGCTCCGCCATGGTGAGCCCCGGGGACACAGGGGACACGGGCACACCACGTTCCTGGGGGTGGCTGTGTCTCCAGTGACACTCCTGTCACCCATGTCCCCGTGTCTCTGGTGATGCCCATGTCCCCATGGTGCCCACCTCACCTGGTCCTCCCCATGTCCCCTTTGGTGTCCCTGTCCTTGCCCTTGCTCTGATCAGCGTCCATGTCCCAAATGATGTCCGTGTCCCCATCAGTGCCCATGTCCCCATGGTCCCCACGTCCCCACAGTGCCCATGTCCCCATTGGTCCCCGTGTCCCCACTGGTGTCCCTTGGTCCCCATGGGGCCAATGTCCCCAGTGGTCCCTGTGTCCCCACAGTGCCCATGTCCCCATGGTGTTGTCTCTCCTTTTCCATGTCCCCATGGTGCTGATGTCCCCACTTGCCCATGTCCCCACAGTGCCAATGTCCCCATTGGTCACCATGGTGCCAATGTCCCCATTGGTCCCTGTGTCCCGATGATGCTGACATCCCCATTTGTCCATGTCCTCATGGTGCCGATGTCCCCATGGTGATGTCCCTACTTGCCCATGTCCCCATGGTCCCCATGTCCCCATGGTGATGTTCCTGTTGTCCATGTCCCCACTTGTCCATGTCTCCATGGTCCCTATGTCCCCATGGTGCTGATGTCCCCGTTGTCCATGTCCCTATGGTCCCCATGTCCCCATGGTGATGTCCCTGTTGTCCATGTCCCCACTTGTCCATGTCTCCATGGTCCCCATGTCCCCATGGTGATGTCCCCCTTGTCCATGTCCCCATGGTGCCCATGTCCCCACGGTGCCTGTGTCCCCATGGTCCCCATGGTCCCCATGTCCCCATGCTGATGTCCCCCTTGTCCATGTCCCCATGGTCCCCATGTCTCCATGGTGATGTCCCCGTTGTCCATGTCCCCACTTGTCCATGTCTCCATGGTGCCTGTGTCCCCATGGTCCCCATGGTCTCCATGTCCCCATGGTGATGTCCCCATTGTCCATGTCCCCATGGTCCCCATGTCCCCATGGTGATGTCCCCATTGTCCATGTTCCCGTTGCCCATGTCCCCAAGGTCCCCATGTCCCCACGGTGTTTGTGTCCCCATTGGTCCCCATGTCCCCATGCTGATGTCCCTATGGTGCTGATGTCCCCATTGTCCATGTCCCCATGGTACCCATGTCCCCATGATGATGTCCCTACTTGCCCATGTCCCCATGGTGATGTCCCCGTTGTCCACGTCCCCATGGTCCCCATGGTGATGTCCCCATTGTCCATGTCCCCATGGTGCCCATGTCCCCATGGTCCCCACTTGTCCATGTCCCCATGGTCCCCATGTCCCCATGCTGATGTCCCCACGGTGCCAATGTCCCCATGGTCCCCATGTCCCCATGCTGACGTCCCCACGGTGCCAATGTCCCCACGGTGCCAATGTCCCCATGGTCCCCATGTCCCCAAGGTGATGTCCCCATTGTCCATGTCCCCACTTATCCATGTCCCCATGCTGACGTCCCCACGGTGCCAATGTCCCCACGGTGCCCGTGTCCCCCTCAACCCCCGCCCCACGCCCGGTGGCGCCCCTCACGTGTCCCTCGTCCCTCGTCCCCAGAGCGAGGAGCCCGAGGGCCGCAGTTACTCCACGCTCTCCACGGTGCGGGAGATCGAGACGCAGACCGACGTCCCCGTGGTCCCCGTTGTCACCGCGGCGCCACCACCGCCACCGCCGGGCGGGAAGGACCCCAAGGAGGAGGAGGAGGACGGGGGCGGCGGGGGGGACCCCATCAAGGCGGCCATGACGCACTTCGTGCAGGAGAACGGGATGCTGCAGGCCAAGCCCAGCTCCAACGGCATCTACATCAACGGCCGCGGCCACCTGGTGTGAGCCGCCCACCGGGGGGACACCTGGGGACACCTGGGGACACCTGGGGACAGCCGGCGCCCGCCTGTGCCCGCCTGGCTCTGTCCCCGCCGCTCCGGTCCCCGGGTGTCACCTCTCTGCTGGTGTGGGGTCAAGATGGACTCTGGTCCTCGGGTGTCACCTCCCCGCTGGTGTGGGGCTGGGGACAAGGACAGTGCCCCAGGACTGGCTGCGGTCCCTGGGTGTCACCTCCCTGCTGGTGTAGGGTCAAGGATGGACTTCAGTCCCCAGGTGTCACCTCCCCACTGGTGTGGGGCTGGGGACAAGGACAGTGCCCCAGGACTTTGTCACCTGTGTCACCTCCCCGCTGGTGTGGGGCTGGGGACAAGGACAGTGCCCCAGGACTGGCTGCGGTCCCCGGGTGTCACCTCCCTGCTGGTGTAGGGTCAAGGATGGACTTCAGTCCCCAGGTGTCACCTCGCTGCTGGCCACGTGGAGCTGGGGACACCACCAAGCCCCAGGACATTCTTCAGGCCCCAAGTGTCACCTCGCTGCTGGCATAGGCTTGGGGACGCCACCACTGAGCTCAAGGACATTCTCCTGTCCCCAAGTGCCACCTCCCTGCTTCAGAGATGGACGCTGGTCCCCAGGTGCCACCTCCGTGCCATCACGGGCTTGGGGACGAGCCCCAGGACAAGCTCCTGTCCCCAAGTGCCACCTCCCTGCTGTCACTGGCTTGGGGACACCACCAAGGACCCCAGGACATGCTCCAGGCCCCAAGTGTCCCCTCCCTGCTGACGTGGGCTCAAGGATGGACTCGGGTCCCCAGGTGCCACCTCCCTGCCACCACAGGTTGGGGACAAGCCCCAGGACAAGCTCCTGTGCCCAGGTGCCACCTCCCTGCCACCACAGGTTGGGGATGAGCTCCAGGACAAGCTCCTGTCCCCAGGTGCCACCCAACCGCGGGCTGGGGACACTCGTGGTGACACCGGGGACCCCCAGGACTCCCCAAATTCCCCAGGACCGACGGGGCAGGAGCCCCCGCGTCCCCCAAACCCCCCTGGGCTGGGTGGCACTTGGGGACAGCTGTGTCCCCTCTCTCCTGGGCTGGGTGGCACTGGGGACAGCCGTGTCTCCTCTCGCAGGTTGGGCGGCACTTGGGGACAGCTGTGTCCCCTCCCCGGCCGGGGGAGGGGCTGTACAGCCGTGTATAGACCCTGTAAATAAAGGACCCGCGAGACTGGGTGCCAG